AAATTATTCGACAATGTCTTTTCATTGTATTTGAGGTTTTATTAAAACATATATTTATTCCAAGCCTCCTTTTTGTGTGTTTATTTTTAGTTTTTGTAGCCATGAGTTTCTTGTAACGTTCCACACAACACTTCAACATATATGTTGTGTAATTTTAATTTAAAAATTTCTACGTATTGTGAGTAAACAATTATTTCTAATTGTCATTAAAATGATGACTTTTTCTTCGAACAGGTTTTTTTCAGTCTTAGGTCAATACGTAATGTAAGGCTGTTTACGTTTCGTATTTTTTGTTGCAATTTTTTTCTAACACAGTCAAGAGTTTTTTCTTTTTTCTTAGAACTAATTTTCAGAGCCATAGGCCTACTGGGGAAGGAGGGCTCTATAAACGTACTCCTAACGAGTGTTTTGCCGAACCGCAAGGTCACTTGGAAGACGGCATTTCGGAATTCCTGAAGAACGAAAATGGAAAGAGTTGAATTGTTCAGCAGCAACATTCTGCAATGTGAAACTGTTGAAAGCCTGCTATCAGATGTATAGATAAGTGTTCGTGTCAGCAGTTATAACAGCCCCAAGAACTGTTATTAAGGTGAGATGTATTGAAATTCCAGTTATTCAATTAGTGCTAAAATATCATTTTTCAGTCTATTGTACACAACTATATTTTAGGCAAACTAATTACTCTTCATTTAAAACCTTCATTCAATTTAATAGTATACTCGGCTTATCCTTCAGTGAAATAAAATGATCACCAATTTTGACATGTAGTACGATCCTATATTAATTCTTCATTCAAATAAATATTCATCTGGTTTAGATGAATTTCCGGGTTGTTAATTTGAAACTTGAGTACTGCCTTTATACATCCGTTAACTCACATTTTTAATGAATTTTTGTGCACAGAACATTTTCCAGATACTTTCAAAACGGTAAATGTTCCCTTTTAAAAAGGAAACAAATAATATTGCAATAATCAAATATATTCTTTTAAGTTTTCTTAAGGCAATTTGGAATTTTTTTCAGAAAAAACGAAGAGTTTTAACATTTACAATATAGTTTGAAAAATCTAAATCTGCGGAAACTTTTTTCTTTTCTTAAAAATGTTGCTTCGTCAATACATCAAAATGAAGAACTGCTGGAATATTTTTAGATCTTTTGAAAGCTTTTGAAGCTATTGACCATTAGATATTGCTATCAAAATGACCTTTTTATGGAATTGGCGATATTGCCCTACATAGTATAACCTCGTACCTTAAACATCTCTCTCGGAGTATAAATACGGTACTGGCACTAAAGGACATTATATACTCGTCTTTACAATTATTTAGAAATTGAATAAGAGGTACCGCGAGGTTCGATCTTAGGTCATATCCTAGTGTTATACGTAAAGGATTTGCGGAAATGGTATTAAAAACTGAAGAACGGTTCTGTTTGCCGATGATACTGTTCTTAATTACTACTAAAAAATTAATACTAAATTAAGTTCATTATCTTTTTCATTCAGAATTCTTTCAATTTGTCAGTCTTCATGCAACTTGTTGCGTGTATTTTGCTTTGGTGCATTCCCGTCTGGAGTATGGCATAATATTCTGAGGAAACAAGTCATGTAGCATCTAATCTTTCGGAATGCAAAATTATTCGAATAATAAAAAACGCCTTCTCCATGATCCCTGCAAGCCTTTTCATTGAGCTTAGAATCTTACCTCTTGCGTTTTATTTATGAATTTGTAATATTTGACATAAGTGATCTAGTTAACGATGGGGACATATTTTCATACAATACTGACATTTCTGATTATGATATGCGTAGTTGAAATTATTCATTAAGTGTATCAACAGCTCACAATCAGAAATCCAGACAGGGTCGTTTCTTTACAACGCATAGCTAGATGACACTAAATAACTCAAGTCGGTACACAAATTAAGTTAAAAGTAACGTCTTTCCTGCTGCAGAAAAGTTTCTATAAAATTAGAGACTATACTGATCAACACAAATAATATTTCTTTGACAAAAGTGATTTATAATGAATTAATTTATATTGGTATATATTGTATTTTTTAAACATCTGGGAAAACTCATCATGTATCCAAACCTTTAGATTGCAAAAAAAATTATTCGACTAATGAAGATCTCTGGAAGCCTCTCTTTATTGAGCTCGGAGTCTTACCATTGCCGTGCCTATGCAGATCATAGAAATCACGCGCATTTAGTGTCTGTAACACACAATCAGAAATCCACATACAATACAATACAATACGTAACTTTACACCTCATTACCAGGTGACATTAAACAAATGAAGTATGTTCACAAACTTAAGTTATTAATAAAATTATTACTGCAGCATAACTGTTTGTATACAATTAGACTATACTGATTATCAAAAAGAAAAAATAGTTATTTAAAAAAATAGTGATATATAATGAATTAGTTTATTTTTATTGTATAATTTTTTAAGACTAAATAAGCTTGTAACAAAAAATGTACTTGTGTTTCTGGGTCTGACCCATATCTCGATCAAGTTTTTGTTCAATTTCTCTGATACATAGAGTAAATGCTAAGATGTTCTCTTGTTTTTTCTTCTGTGCGTTAATGTATCTTCACTATGCGCACGTTTTGTTGCTCTCCTTTTGAAAATACGTTTTCTTTAACTCCGAAACGAAAATTTCTATTTTTTCAAATGTTTCTAATCTCACGCATTTTTAAAATTTATTTTTTATTTTTTTATCGTTAACTTTCCCTCGTCTTTCGAATATTGATAGTTAAAATGATGGGAAGGGATTCTGGAACTCGAGAAAACATGCGCGAATTATCTTCTCACGTAAGTTTCATCCAGCTTTCAGTTTTTTTTGACTAAACAAATGAAAATATAAATCTTGGATCAAAGGACTCACTGTGAGGAAACACGAGAACAAAAAATGCAATTGTTTTGAAGCTTTCTCATCTCGAAAGAACATGAAACCAAGCAGATATGCACATAGGATTAGGAGATGATTCGACCAAGGTAATCCAGTGCGAAGGTGTTAAAAGAAGGTTGATTGTTGGAAAATGTGGAACGCCTTCTTAAGTGTTATGATAAACTGTCGGTATGTGGTGGGCGTATGAAATGATTTGACTTCTTGCGAGCGAATTTGAAACGGCTAGTGTGCCATCAATTTGCAATTTAGCATCAGCAGCAATTCATTTGAGCTATTTCAGTGATTATTCTCTGAAGATGAAAAAGTCTATTTAAAAAGGTATCCTTAAAACACAGGTTTTGTATGTAATTTAGTGAGATTTGTTTTACAATTTTCTTCTAGAACGGAGGTGGTTCAAAAAGTAACAGGTTTCACTTACTGAAAGAGGGTAACGGGAACATTTAAGAATTTGTAGTTTTATTATTGTGTATAGGTATTGTGGATAGTTATCGTTGGCATTTCCAATGAAATAATTATATACGTCGTCATTGCCAACAATATTATTTATTAAATATATGAATGAAAAAGAACGAATTATTTTATTATTGTGGATTAAAAATTCATGAGGTTGATTGAAAAATGTATGCTATTACTAATGAACGTAAGTTATTGTTGAGCAGTTATTTTTAGTGTTTTGCTTGTGAGGAAGTAATTGATAGAATTGAAAAGCGAGATACAAAAAGATTGATCCTCCGTTGAGTGACTCACGACATTTCTAAGAGACGAGACAAACGAACTTGCAAGGTAGAGCAAGCATTAAAGGCATATTACATTTTGGGGATGCAAACTTCAACAAACGCCAACAGAATGTCCCCGATATTGATTTGTCCGATATGCACCTGCGTGAGTTAACGTGAGGGTTCAGGAATCTTCAATAACCAAATCTATTAAATTTTGCCTAACGAAATGGCCATGAGAAATCTTTGCGCGAGATAGGCTACAACTTTCTGTAATTTGAATTACAAAACTACTGTGTAACACTATGCCCTTACTTGGCCTATATTCGATGACCGCCATAACTATATCGAATAATGAGAGAAGAAACGAAGTTTACTTTCCCTCTGAATTACTTCAGAACTTGGACACACATCTGCTCTAATATTCTTGTTTTCAAATAAAATTGTATCATTGGCATTGTATGACAGTAGAATGAATTGTTATTCACAAATACTAGATCTTTAGTTCTTACGGCGTTTCTCTGCAAATTTTGTCAATTATGTGTACGCAACAGATCATGGAAAAGCTGTCTCAATCAATATGTTATACTATGGTAAAAACGTATGTATTGGGCTCTTAATTTCAATACATTATTGTCAATACATAATACATATACACATCATAATGTATTAAAATTTCATGATCTGTAAGATTGAAACGGGTACCATGTTGTGTAAATTTAAATAATGCAGTTATCAACATGCGCGAATGAAGCAACTTAATGAGCATTTTTTTCTCAGTAGTGCCAGTAAATTTTCGCTGGATTAGAACTTCCTTCTCGGCGTGTTTAGCATCAGACCTTTTACTTTAACATTTCCATGCTTATATAATTACCATAACTATTAATTCAGGCATCAATAATTAAGTAAACGCGCAGATAAAAACTTCGGTAATAATGGGGAAACAAAGATTGAAAACCCAATCTGATTAACAAATTTCGGTAGAAAACTTTTCAAACTAATATTTATTTTCTAATAATAGGAAAAACTATACATACCAAGTAAACACTAAATTGCACTACTTTTATTACAACCGAACCGAATCGGTTGAATCTAAAACCAAGGTAGAATAGCTGTGCCTCTGCCAGGGGCTCGTGGGTTTACTGGGTGCGTAAACATTCCTTGTCACCTTGCTTCCAAGGCTACGTTACTCGCGTCTCCACAAGCTACGTCCCCCCATCCTTGGCGCTGTGCGGGCTGGTCAGACGAAGAGACTTCCACGCGGAAACATTGGGTATGTTTGTATGAGTCTTCGATCCAAGTTCGTGATCCAATTTGTTTATGTGAAGAGGATACAGGTTTTGTGCGCCAGGAAAGTTTTTGTAATATATGGAAAAAATTAATTATGCGATTCTACCAATTTTAATTTCTGGTCGTAGAAAAATATTTTTTCCTGAAATTTATTTCTTGCGACACAACAATATTGCAGTTTATGATACTATTGAATTAGCGCAAATTTATGTAGAGAAATGGAAATCTGGATTGAAAGTAAGCGTAATTTGGAGGTATACACACATTTTGAGTTGTTTCTTGTAACATTTTATGTGCTCATGTCGTACGACACGGACACTTTTGGGCAACGGAACAAATTATTTTTCTCAGAGAGAAGTTATTATGAATTGAAATTGCTTATTTTTTTCTGCATTACGATTACCTTCTTTATTATAAATGTATTATTTGAAAACCATTTCATTTATATTTAGTAATGTCTCGTTTCTATACTTAATTAGTCAATAACTTAAAACAAGGCTCAGTTTACAAATTTTTAAAAGTATTGTTTGCGTAATTGTGCTACATAGTATATATAAGGTTTCCCAACACATTACGGAGCAGTTATGTTGACTCTCGTGTCGGTGCAAATTGTTTCATTCGCATTATTGTTATTTATAATTTGCTTTCATAATCGACTTGAATACGTGAATACGTCTTGCGTAACCTCAGTTGTCAGAACAGGAACCATGTTTTTATACAGACTACACAACCTTTTTGGATATTAATTAAAAAAGGTATACATTTCGTGACATACAGTGGCTTTCAAAATTGAACGTGCACTATGTAAGAAACTACAAAACGGCAGAGAAGAAATATTTATTGCAAAATACTGGGGTAAAAAGTTAATGCAGGTGTTAATGCAAGTTACAAAAATATTCTGAAAACCTAAATAAATAATAAATAAAACTTCTCTTAATGCATATCATATGCAATTATCTACAAAATGAATGTACACTGACAATTTTCGACGAGAACGAAAAATAGTAAGGCAAAATTTTCAGCAGCAACCTTTAGCACAAATAACAACCTCCAGTCTTGCTGACATGGATCTTACAAGCTTCCTTTAAAATTCAGGCGCGATTATCTTCTATTGTTCAGAGAGGACCATATTGAGCTCTTTTTTATTTAAAACATTGCTTCTGCACATGCTTTTCCAATTCCCACCATTATTTCAGAATAGGTGAGTAGTCAATAGATTGAGTACGGGTGATTGTGTCAGTTCCAAGTCGCTTTGGAAACAGCTATATCAATATGCGCTGTAAAGATCGCTTTGTCCAGCTGAATGTAATATGTCGATCCCAGTGCAAGATTAGCTGCACTTCATTACATTCTAAAATTCCTAAATACCCGAATTTGACCTTGGAACCGATAAAATGGAGTTTCCCCACACCTGACGCAGACATACAGCCCTATAAAATTACGCAGCCCGTACCACATTTCCTCCCATTGGACGCAAAATTTGATCTTCTAATGCTGCGCTTTCCTCCCTCCACACGTCCATCTTATCTGAATATCTTGAATTTACTGTTATAGCTGAAAATCACTGATTGCCAATGATTTTTCCGTAATTTCCAGTGAACTTCACTTAATTGACAGTGAATTTCCTTCAAAAGCGTGGTATCCGTAATATTTCGCGAACTGACGTATCTTGTGTAGATTTGCCTTACTACATCAAGGATACTTTTTTGCTTCTCTTCCATTGCAATCTGCGTGTAGTCGTGCCTTTCGAACACTTTCTGAAAACTCAGATATCCCTGTTGTTGCAAACACCCACGGAGTCAATTTAACCACACTTTGGTGTTTTTATTGACAATAATTTTTGTCTCGTACGTCTAGTATCGGATTTAAGCCTCAACCTATTTTATTCATTAATTAGCCATCGTATTTAGATTGGTGTACCATACCTTGAATAGTTGAATAAAGTCTTCTCATTGTCACACCCATTGCAATACCTCGTAGTGATCAACTTCCCCTCATTGCTAAATTCACAATAAGCCTTCATTCTTCCATCATCGTATCCCCTCTGGGGACCATTTTCAATTCAATGATGCTCTCCGCAAATCTAGCCATAAACTAATCAGTTCGTCAGAACTTTGTACCCATGAAAGCATTTCATCCATTACGTTTGAAAGCGCGCTTGTGATGGTGTAAGTTTATTTCTGTGCAACGCTTCAATCATCAGTTAGTATCATTCAGTATTTAATTTTACACACAATTTTCTGCTTACAAATTGCACCAGTTCTTCCAGAAAACCTCGAATATACAAATTACATATTTTATTTCCATAAATATTAATATGAGAATTATGAAATCATTAAAGGTGTACGTTCAATTTTGAGAGCCACTGTAGCTGCAAACCACTTAGACAAGGAATTAAGGCCACTGCAGTAGCAGTGGAAGTTAGCATACTTGGAGTGGTTGTTAAGAGGTGAAGCAATAGACGGTTTAGATTCTTGCAGTGCTCGTAATTGTTGAATTGATTGCTTGTTATTACAGACTTAATCCTCCGGAATAATTTGCAATATAATTTATACCTAATCTTTTTTTAAATTTATTTATGGTCGCTTTATAACGTCAGCGATCCATGTCATTATACAATTGTATGTAATCTTGTTTTGGTACACTATTGGGAAAATTATTTTTTAATCACGATACGTTCTCAAAAGATTATTTCTTTCTGGGCTTATTCTGGGCTATTTCTTGCTGGGCAATCAATCAATGAATTAAGCAATGCAGTTCAGCGTTTCCAGCAGCTTCATGAAGAGAAATAGTAAAACAGAAGTTGTACATGGTTGTACATTATTTACATTTCGTCATTTTACTGTACTCTTACAAATAAGACAAAGTCCATGCCATGGTGTAATGTCACTTATTTCGTTAGTAAAGTAATTATTAATATTCGACAGTATGCATATTTTTTATACAAATAACAATTTTCTGTTCTCACATTTTTAATTGTTTAAGAGAAAGCAATATGAAATTATACTTTTTTGATCAATCAATGCAATAAACAATGAAAAATGTACTATTTTTTAAGGAAAGTCTTGATACAAGTATGTCTCACATTTTCCTTGTGAGCACATCTAGAATATTCTATCATCTCGCATTCCAAACAGGAAAGGGGAAAGAAGATAAACCATATTGCTGATAAAAGTCATCAAGTTGGTCCGACACAGTTCTTCAGGAGAAGCAAAGTAGAAGGTTGGTTCGCGATTTTACTCCGGAAATTTAATGGAATTTGGGTTAAACGCATTGCAAATGCTTATGACTCTTCGAAAAATATTGTTGCATTGAGCTGATAACGTTGATATCTTGAGGTGCCGAAATTTGGTGCGTTTGTTTTGTTACATACAGTGTAAATGATTGTTCCAGTGGGCGTCTATCGTCGTTATCGTGCAAAGATCTGTTGTATTTTTTTAAATTCAAATTTTTCAGAACTGAATTGTTGAAAAATATGAAAAAGGAATATAGCCTTTTTGGTTGTGTTTAATTGTTGGGTAATAAATAGGGAAAGTTACAAGAATACAATTAATAAGGCTAATTTAAAAATAAACTATTTAGTGTAAAAGAAAAAATCGGTAATGTATGCAGACAAATGATGTGTATAAAATCCCGTAAGTTTTCTATAGTTATCATTTATCGTATTTCTATGATTAGTGTAAATTTCATTTTCCTTAATCAATGTATCACATCAGAGAAAAGTATATTTTCACTCGAAAAATACATTGAATAATTTCAAGATACGAATACAATACTCGGATTATTCTGTAGTCACGGATAAATGTATAAAAAACATTTTGCAATATAAAAGTTAAGTGTTGTCGGGAGTGAAGTAAGATAGTTCATGTGATTGAAGTCAATCAAGTCAATTGAAGTGATTGAATTAGTCATGTATTCAGTGAAATTCAGCTACGTTCGCATGGTATTAGCAATTCTGTGTACCCAATTTCCACAACTTTTAATGGGCTATGCACCTTCGCCTACCTGCAACCAAACTCTAGTTTCTCCATTCATACCAATACCTATGAAATGCATTAATAATGGATATGATTTACAATATAATTACACCAAATGCTCCAAATTGTATCGTTCTCAAAAAGGATCAAAATGGGTTTTTGAATTGATGTTAAAGTACAAACGTTTTGCCGTTAACAAAAATCATGACCAAATATTCAATAAAAACTACAATTGCTTGTCAGTAAGTGAATTGTCTTGGAAGACAGATCAAGAAAATACATTCTACTTGGTTTTCTCTACTTCATATAATGGAGATTCAAACTATACTTGTGACTCTGCCAAGTAAGTATAATTTTAATGTCTTCGTGCCTTCCGTAATTAAATGTTTTACAATAATCTTTGTTGATTATTTTGCTTTAATCAATTTATATTTATTTAAGGTCTTATTTATTTGATTTTCACATCATATATCTTCTATATTGTAGCTACCTAGAACTTATTTTAATTTCTAAACAAAATGAATTTCCTCCAAAATGTAAAAGCACAGAACTACTTGCAGAACACGAGTGTCAGAGCCTAGAAAAATATAATTTATATTTTATTAATTAAAATATTTAATTACATTAGTACAATTAATGACATTTAGAAGACGGAATTTGATTAATGATTGTTGTCAATTCATAAGTATATTGCGAATAATTATACTAATAATTACGACGATATTCGTAGCATTAGTTATCCCGTTAACAAAGGACTGGCGTTCACCTGTTCGTTATTGTATTTTTTTTTATATTGTATTATTTCTTGGCAACTACATCGCGCAACAGGTGCGCGCCATAAGTGCCTTGTTGTACTCTTCCAAATATTCGATGTTAATTTTAATACGCCGCGCAAGAAACGGTTTCTCGTACTTGTTTCATGTGAGGAAAAGCTAATTTTTTCAGTGCGCGAAGCGTGTGCGAAGCGTGTGCGAAGCGTGTGCCAAGCGTGGGCCAAGCGTGTGCCAAGCGTGAGCGAAGCAAGTAACATAATGAATTTTTTTTGTAGTAAATCGGTATTTTTTACTCATTTTAATGCTTGATAGTGAGTTTAGTTGAACCTGATAGTGCTTTTACGATTTATCTCGTGTACCTTTTCCCGTATCACAAACGTTGCACATACCTAGCGTGTGTCGTGGCAAGGGATATTAAGAAGTACTCTTAAACGTTTAAGCAATCGACAGCGCAATTGATCTTCTACACGTGCGCAGTTTGAGTTTCACATCACATTTACACTTCTGCGCATGAGCAGAAGATGGTGTTTGGAGTCGATCTCTGGGTGCAATGGCGTGCCAAAACTACCTATTTAATCCTAGTTCGCTGATCTCGTGTTCCCAAGCGTGCGATTGCAAGGGAATGTGCGCGGCGCACAAGTCGCTTTGTTTGAATTCGTTGAGTTTGGATTATATTTCTATTAGTTAAAATGAGAGAAAAAATTAAAAATTGAGTATACTAATTTGTACTAATATTTTAAATGTAATACATATTACCCTCCTTCAGAAACAATGCACTGATGGAAATTTGAGAAGTTCTTTGTTGAACAGCGATAAGATAAGATACCGAAATGTCTTGTCTTTGTTGAACATTGCGATGGAACGATTATGAGGCTGTTCACTTGCATCTTGAAAAGAACGATAATGCATTTAATATTATTTAATCATTAAATTATATTAAATTGCATTTTTTACTTAATTTTAATTTGAAGACGATGAGATAATTTTGCTTTGCATAATAAGATGAGGGAATGAAGGGTAATGCGTGTAAAAACCGACTTAACTATTTTTATTTTCTTGCTAGCAATATCAACAATGCTAATTGGCAAAATGTGTATCACATTCGAATTAGTGGTCGTTGTTGTTTGTAGCAACACATTGTTGTAACGCCGCATTGATAACAGAAGGCGATACTGACAGCCGCCGTTGGTTCGCGTTAATATAAACTAATTATTTTATTCAGGGCTAAAATACGCATCGCGCACCATTGGTACATTTATGTAGAACGTGAATACACTGAATTCAATGGCCGAAAGCTGTTTGTGTTTAAAGCTTTGAATTAAAAAATGCTTGTTTCACGCTTTGTTTGTTTAAGAAATTGTCAAATGATAGTTGAAGTGTAAAACAGAAATTGAATGGCTGTAAACCAGAACTATGTACTAAGTGTCATTTTATAAATTCTGAGAAAACTGTTTAAGTCAATACACCGCTAATGTCGTGGTGCTTTGTTTCATCATTGAAACCACGGCATTTGTATTGTTTATTACAACCACGAAAATACATTGCCTCTAAATATATTCGACAATAAACACGTTTATCTCAAAATTTTTTAAATTTTACTTACATCGTTCTGATTTTCAGCCATTCAATTGTAATATTATAATATTGCATAGCCACTAGCAATATCATGAGAAAGTGCGTGCTGTTGTAACACAACTAGTTTTTTTCTCTAGTGATGTAAAAGGAAAAAGAATAATTACATTTTAATGTACGGAAATAAATGGTTACAGGCTTTTGTAACTCAGTTTGTACGTAACAAAACTGTATCGACTTTCTACGTGACATCAAAAGAAGCATCTGTTTCAGTGGAAGAAACTGCTCGCTAGAAGTGAAGCTGAGAAAAGACGTGTTGGCTCTCCCGCCGTTCTCCTTCTCGCCGGATGAGCCTGAGTTCTGGAACTTCTCCTCACCGCTGTTCCGTCCTGAACTGAAATGGCTGACGACTTTTCACCTGACTGGTTCACTTACGGATCACTACCCACATGAGCTGCCAGGTTTAGCAGGCTCATCTATCCAGGAACTTTTCATCATAGGTTCCTTTGGAACAGATCAGAGAGGTGCCTTGCCTCATTTGGATAATTTGCCTTTGTTGAATTTTATAACTACTACTAATAGCTCGATGGACTTCTCGAAAGGTATTTTTTACTTTATTTATACTAAAATTAAAATGAACATTAATTATATATTATATAATGAATATTAATTATATTCAAGGGTACCTCACGTTTTGAGATACTCTTAAATTAAAAACATGTTTTAAATTCTGGGATGGAAACTTTTGCAGTTTTAGATTTTGTGGAGAATTAAAGTTTAACAGCAATATTTGAGTTTACGGAGTTGAAAAGACATACAGCAAAAATTATGGTCATATATATTTTGTACAGCAAAAAATAGAGAAAGTATCTCACCATTATATTTCAGAATCCACCTTCCTGTAACTTGTAAATTCTCCTAGTTCAGTATTTTTCGCCAGCGCGTATAATAGTTACGAATCTAACTAGACTTCAAATAAGGCAGAATTCGCTACTCGAGTTCAATTCTGAAACAATCGTTGGCATTTAGAATCAAAACACATTTTGATTCGATCAGTACAGGTCCCTGTCCTGAATACATTCTGCACGAAAGCATAGGACTACAATGCTCTAGTGATGTAAGCGAACATCCAACATTCAGAATTGTCAAGTCTTGTTTGAGTGGTCCATTCTGTTTGTTGGGGGCTGTATTTCTATTCTGCTATGTTAAGTTGTCATATTTTTAAATAAAAGAAAGGAATTACCTTGGTTTAATCATAGCATGAGAAGATAAAGGTCATTCAAGCGGCTTTTATGATGGATACTGTTTGTGTAGATCGCAGATGTATGCCGGAAAGATTTGAAAGTGGGTGAACATATTAATTACTTTGTTAATGTTGAATGTAACTACGCGTTACATGAATCTCTATTCGAAAGAAATATATGTACATTTTTTTGCTATGCTACAGCTGTACTTTAAATATAAGTTCTTATTGAGTACTAACATTTAATGCAATGTTTTGATTTTAGAAAATCTTACTAGAACAACAAACATAAGAGTTCTGAAACTTTTGAACAACAAGTTCACAAGTGTGCCAAACACAGTGTCACAACAGAAAAACCTGCGAGAACTAATATTTGAATCAACTGATGAAAACTTCAATTTCTCTTCGGAAGCATTACGTGGATTGGATTACCTTAATATTCTCGTATTATCAGGCAGTCAAATAGAACAGTGGATAATGCCGTATTTCCATAAGTTAGGCATACTAAAACTGAATGGTTGCAAGTTGAGGAGATTCAGTGCATCTAAGAATCGCTTCATAATTCCCTCTTTGACACAGATTCACCTGAAAGATAATTTCTTATCTGCCCTATCATCTGATGCATTTACTGGTGTTCCAAACGTGTACATTCTGGACCTTTCGTATAATTACATTATTCAACTCTCTTCCAAAATATTTAAGCCTCTTCTATCTTTAGGATGTATTTACTTGCAAAGAAATAACCTTACTAAGTGGCCAGTTATTCCACACAACTTCTATGATACAATTGATTTGTCTCAAAACTCATTGAACTACTTAATAAATTTAGGTGATTATATTTTGTCAGTTGACAATATCGATATATCAAACAACAGAATTTCTGGGTGGAACAGTGAAAATACATTTAAACAAGCTCAATTCTCACGAAGAGTGAAGAAAATCTCAACTGCCTTTCCCATTAATGCAGTAGCTACCAGCGTAAATCTGTCAAACAATTTCGTCACAATATACTCTCGAACAATGTTGGCTTCTCTGTCCGTTTTGGAAAAAGTAGATCTCGGAGGAAACATGATTAATTGCGGTGATTGTGAGTCATCCCACTTGCAACAATGGTTAGTCAGCACCAGAACAATAGTGTATAATTTAGGCAAACGCAGGTCACTGACCTGTTACCAACCTACGGAGTTCAAGGATCGTTCGGTGCAGGAAGTGAACTTCGCTGAAGTATGCTACATTCCTCGTCGCTATCTATTGTTGTGGATTGGTGCACCTATTGTTGGAGTGATCATAATTGTTGTCATCGGTGGTGTCATTTTCTACTATCGAACGGAAGTGGTGTACTTGGCGCATCTTGCGAAAGTACGTGCTACGTCGAAGAAGAAGAAAACAGAAACACTGATCGGGGCCTGCTACGATGCCTTCCTCTGCTACAGGTAAGAATATTATACTGACGAACGTTGTTCAATGTGTAATATGTATATAGGTGACTGCAGTTTAAATTATTAAAATTATATGTAATTGATTTATTTCGTATTTTACGAAAACAATGAAATGTACTGCTGGAACGCGGCCCTAGATAAACATATTACCAAATTTTAAGCAGATATTTGCATCAGATTGCTTCATAACTCAATCTTAGTAAAAAACTGGATTCAATATTTAATTTAAATTTTGAATAAATAATAAACACAGCAAATTACAAAAATATGCTAACTTTTTTTGGCCCACTAAAAGCATCGTGCTGTTAATATGCTTCTTAAATTACTTCACATTCAATGTAATTTTTATTGGGTGTATAAAAGCGTTATTATCTACAACTTTTTTCTGAAATTTACAGAAAACTGTTGATAATGTGAGATTGAATAAGTGTTTTGTTTAAGCTGCTACATTCATATCTAAGTATAGAAATATCAGTTAATTTGAGTTAAATTGATATTGTTTAGTAAATATATAATAAATTGTTTGTGAAATTATAGTATATCGGGCGCGGCTCGTCATTAAAGGCTGTAAGGCGGAGCTTTTCCTACAGAAATCGTCTTCCAAAAAAAAATTGAAAATGTATTTATATATTAATAATGGATTCTGAGTTACATTATGAATCAATATTTTTTTTCGTCAGGTCGTTAACGGCCGTTCGTAACGCATTTGAAGTTGTTGTGAAGGAAGAGAAAGCGAAGAGTTAGGCTGCCACTTCATTCCGCCATAAGGTCTGTGTAAAACGAGGAGGCGTCACGTCATGCATTCACGGCACAGGTTTATCGTCAAAGATAAAGCTTAGGATTTGAAGAAGGGCGTTCTCACCAGAAAGCATTACTGTACAGCTGAGAAAGTAGTAAACAGCATCAACTAGTTTTCCTAAAATGCGGCAGGATATTCGATACTCTTTTAACTCTGTATCGGAAGAGATGATGTATAGAAATACAATGCAGGCAATGCAATGCAGTGCATATGCACTCTTCCTTATTTAGAAAACTAGGAGCTAAAACCGTAGTATATCATTAAAAAGTATACAATGTTTTCACGTAGTTGGAGACGTTTTGCAGAGCATCAAGAACCATAGCGCCATTTTCAGCCTCTGCGCATTCACAGTTCGATTTGCGCATGAACAGAGGCAACAATAAGTCAAATACGTTTAAGTGCTTCATGCTATGCAAAAAGTCTCTAATATTCAAGATATCACCACAAGTATCAGGATGTGATAATTTAATTGAATCAGGGGTATGTGTGAGGCATGTCAAGATAAATGTTTGCAAAGAACGCGCCGTATGACATTACCACAGTGGGAAAAACCGGAAGTGGGTGATGCGGCGTCTCGTACCACTTCTGGAGCGCCGTCCGGAGAACTACTCTTGTGCCTCTTCGACCGGGGACTTCGCGCTGGGCCTCACACATCGCGTCACAACATTGTCGAAGCCATAGACCAGGCAGGAAGGTCTCGTCGTCCTTCACTCAACCACTTTCATGCGATCAGAAGGTGAGTCTATCCAATCCACTCTAAGCAATTTACATAGCATGTTGGAGAGCTTGTTTGTGACGATGGTAGGTTGCAGTGGTTGCAGTGGGGAGTGAGATGGCGCAGCCAAGCTGGTTCAGCGAGGACGCGCGAGTTCTGGTGTTTGCTGGACCCTTGGAGCGCTGGAGCGCCAGGCGCCTGCCGCGCTGCTGCGCTTCTGGCTGGACCGCGTCCGGTTGGTGGCGCTGGCCGCGGCCCGAGACTGCGCCGGCGTTGATGGGGCGGCGCAGAGCTGCGCGCGTGCTGGGGCCCAGCCTGCCGGACAGACCCTCCTCGGGGGACCCTCCAGCCGGGGTGAACTGAACCTACACTTCCAGGCGGACGTGCAGGAATCACTGCTAATTGACGAACACCACAAGAAATTGATTGTGTCGAGTAGCAAGGTCAGTCTTTCCTGTGTTGCGGTTTGCAAAGCGTATTCAGGCAAGGGAAGTTAAAAACATTTTATTGAGCTTCTTTGTGACGATAGTGGTTGCAGTGGTGCGCTGGCCGCG